TTCAGTGCAAAGAAGTAACAAACCAAACATTCTGATTCCTTGAACTGTTTTTAACTTTTTACAGGCAATTGCAATTTGTGGTCTTTGAAAATATTTTCAAGTGCTTATTTATTCCAAATTGCACAAGAAAAATCATGTGATTACCTATACAAACACTTGCTCAAAAATACTACAAACAATGATTTTGAGAGAAAAACATGGATTGAATTTTACTCAAAAGATTTTTCTTAGCGTTCTTTAAATGGTTCTGCTTTAAGTGACCATTCACCCTAGTTAGTGATCATTTGAGTTAGTGAACAAAGCACATTTTCAGTCATTAATATTTTACAAGAAATGGGTGAGAAATTAAAATGCATAGACAATCACAAGACACAACCAAATCATTTTTAATGCTTTGAGGAATTTAGTGCTTTCAGTAGTAATGAATGCATGTAAATATCGGTGAGTTAGTGATAGCACTGTTATGCCGTTTTAAAAATCCTGAGTTGTTGTTGATGTGACTTGCCCAGTATTGACATTGGGACAGAATTGGCATTTGTTGCCTAGAATAACTTTTTCGTGCTTTGTCAAATTATCTGCAATTTGAATTATGTAAAGCAAGAGGATTAACTGCACTAAAGTCGATCATTTCTACGTTAGGTGGTGCAGTGACTAACGTATTCGTGAACGTAAAGCTCAATCTCTGCTTCTTTGCGCATAGTTATATTCGAGCACTTGTAACACTTCTCTACGTGTAAATAGGAAATCAAATAAACGATTTACTTACGGATTTGGCGATCGCCTTTGAGTTCGCTGAAACTAATTTAAGACAAAATAGGTTAAATAATTGTTATTACAATTGCTCTTTATACATTGTAAATCAAATATTTCATTTCCTTAGGTGTCTAAGTGCACTCTAGTATCGATTTATTTGCGCATGTGACAGTGTTCAAAATCTTAGAGTCAGGTATACAACGGAGGGAAGCTCATTGCTTAATGGCTGTACTTTTAATTGTGTGTACTATCTACTCACCGTTTGCCTTTCTTGATCCATTCTTTGAATAAGATGAGTTTGTGAGGGTCTTATCTGTTTTGTAAAGGCAATTGGTGAGAAAGACGTCGTCATCTTCTAAACTCTTAACGGTGACCAATTTACGTTATCAACTCAGAACTCAGTTGATAATACTGAATTACTCTGTTAACTTTAATTGAGTTTTCTTAACAATGAAGGTGTTCTAGTGTCATTAAAGTGTGACTACACCCACGACTTTCAAACTGTACTTTATGAGTGCATTGTGTAATTGTTTGCCGATCAATTTCTGTATGGTGAAAACTGTGTCCGATGATAGAACCGAACGCACCTCAGAGGATAACGAGCGGCAAAGTGCCAATTCCTCGCGGGGAACTCACCTATTCGCTTAAAGTATGACTGAAGTCTTCCTCAATCAAGTAAACGTTGAAAGCAATCGGATGAATGAGCCTTTTAGCCTTGCATGCGTATACGTGTCACACTGTTATTGGTGCAAGTATCCACCTCTATGCTAATGCCTATGTGTATGCACCTCTATCGCTCTGACGAAGGGCTAACGCTCGAAACGTCAGCTTTTTTACTCTTTACGGTGGCTAATTTACGTATTCAACTCAGTTGTAAAACTAAATTACCTGCTATACTCTCCCGCCGACGCAGCACCACAGTTTCTCTAGAAACTTACCCTCTTTGTCTATTAGCCCCAAGTTATTAACGCGGACTCCCAGGATTCCATTGCGTGACTTGCATAACTCAAGCTCTGTTTGAAGTCACGCTATGTTTGAAGTCACGCTAAGCGATGTGCCGCTGGAGCGTTGGTCTTAGCAACCTAAACCGTGTTTCTTTGACTTTTTGCTGGCCGTTTCTTACAAGGTCACCGTCTTTGGTCGGCCTGGTGGGTTACAGGAATCTGTGATTGAATCGATCACAGCCATCCTAACCGGGTTCCAGAGGCTGGTTAGAGTACCTGGACGATAGAAATCAATGCAACTTAGCATACTGCTCAGTTAGCTTATATCAGCAATCATAAGCCTACTTGAATCTACAATAGACTCACATATTCATTAATCGTACCCTACACTGATGTCTAAAATTCGGACACAAACCTCTCTAACCCACCAAAGGTAAACGGAAATCCTGTTTTACCTTCCCAGGCGCGCATTCTCGATTATTCGTTTGTAGCAAAACATAGCAGCTCTAAAATGAGAGGATTTCGTTCCGATCATTTAAGGTAACAGTACCCAAAAAGTAGTTTCATCAATTTTCAAATAGCAATCTTAGGTATTCATTGGCGACGTTTGCTCTGTGACGGTACTGTACTCCATTTCCCCGCCGTGGTGATGATGGACCAATTCTTTGTAATCTACTTGCGCAGACGATTTCTGTCTTTCCAGAGGCCAGCTTTGAGGAAAGCAGAATTAAGGTTGTTGGAGGTCGGTTACTTTTTCCTCTTCGATTTTGCCTTTAGCATAACACCTGAAGGCTGACCGTTATGTTTGCTTCGGAAATCGTTGATCACATGACGTTTAAAATTAGATTCCTTGATAAAGATTCCTTTTAGCCTACGTGTAGCCATACCCTCCCCCAAGGTGAAACGGAAGCCAGTCGTGTTCCGTGACGTCACTCGCTTTGCGTCGGTAATTGGCCTCTAGAATGCCGTTTCTGTTTTGAGTGAAATGAAATGAAGAATGTATTTAAAAAAATAGGGAAGAGAAAAACACAATAATTATACATTTTGCTCCCGCCCGGAGTCGATCCCTCGGGAGGAAGCACTATCCATTGCGCCAAGCACACAGCATATAATTTAACGGTAATTGTTATATATATAAAGTTTGGAGCGTTAGCTCTTCGTCAATCACTCTGACTCCTTCATAATTCATTTTTCTGACTCTATCAGTGGCCCACAGCCAGTTTTATTTTCACGTTTGTTTACATCGTTTGCAAGTGGATGCTTTCTAACCCTTAAGATCCCTAAGGGTTTCCGTTCCAATATTTATGCATCTTCTTTTTCTCATTCTAATCAATATCGTCTCCAAATTCAGTGCGCCCAAAGTTCTTTTTCACGTAATGTTATGAGAATCACAGTCAGAGCTGCGTGTCAAAAACGTTACGAACTCAAAGAATAAATTCTACATTGCCGCTTTCCAAAATCTCTCCAGCTGTTTTAGTACAATTTATTCGTGCCAAAATTCAGGATGCCAATTCTAAACTTTTTAACCATTTGCACCAAATTAAGGCCCAAAAACTCCACCAACTTGTCGGTCCTCAAATTACCAGAGACTCGTCGCCTGAAAGCCTCAAAACTGTAGTTACCATTCCAGAAAATTTTACCACTTTCCGATTCAGAAAAATTAGTTCTCAGTAAGGGCTTAAAGGAGAACTGAAGTCCAAATTCATGTAATTTTTTTCACCGTGTATCGTACATTTATGTATGATGGAACAAATTTCCGTCATTTTTTTTCCCTCTAACGACAGTTTTCATCCAGAAAACGAAGGGTTTTTAGTGATAATTGGCTCGACATTTGACTGTGGTACGTCGGCTCAGAACACGAATGTCAGCGGTTCTTTTTGTAGCGTGTGACGTAGGTTATGGGGATGAAGGTAAACACAGCAAGAAACAGGCAAGTTGAATTCAGAACTGCGGCTTGCTCGTGGGAAAGAATTTGTGGTTTTCCAGGAGTAAAGATTGTGCAAGGTGAAGCAAAAAATGATTCAATCGCCTCTCATATAAGAAAATTGGTCTTCTGTCCAGGGATTGTGTAAGAGAAAAATATTTTGGCTTTCGTAACCCTGTGTCTCTGAAACGTAGTTACGTGTCCAGATCATGTGCGGCGCATCTTTTATACTTGGATTGACCTCGATGTTTTCGGAATAGGGTCTCCACTTTAATTTTTCTTACATACTGGTAATTTAAGATATTTCATCTTCCATTCTGTTTCCCATTTTTTGTTATTTACCTTTTTTAACATTAGTTTGCAACGCGTTTGTAGTCTGGATTTTGCAATGGCATGTACGATAACGCACGCTGTTAACAATGTCGCAAGAAGTCCAAAACGAAATAAAATTTTGAAATTCGTGTTGAACTTTGGTTTATAAGTTTTCTATAATGGGTTAAATTCTTGGCTTACGCAAGAAAGGATGTACAAATACGGAAGCCCGAGTTGTTTGAGTTTATTCTTCTATCTGTTCTTGGCGGTTGAGTAGCTCTCGTTGCTATATTTACTTCGATTACTTTCGAGCTAAAAAATGGTATACTGCGCGGCGTTCGATTGTAACAACGACTCGAGGTACACAACTGGTATATCCTACCATTGCTTTCCGAGGGATGAAGCTCTACGATCACAGTGGCTGGCAAAGATCTCACGAGCGGATCTGGTCGTTTCGAAAAACTCCAGGCTGTGCTCAGAACATTTTACACCTGACTGCTACGAACGAGACTTGAAAGCAGAAATTCTTGGTTTGAAACCCAGATCTACGCTAAAACCAGGTGCAATACCCACGGTTTTTTCGCATCGGAGACCATCAAAAAGACCTCGACTTTCATCGGAGAAACGTTCAGAAGAGAAAGTCAGAAAAGAAGTAAGTGAATCGCGAATTACTCTCTTGTATCTGGGTTGGGTTGTTGCAAAGCTTGGGTTGTTGCAAACTCTTGAAGCTGCTCATCATTTATGCATGATTGATACAAAAAAAAATTGAAAGGTGAATGCAGTTTGAGGGCAATAACAATTTATATCTTAAGGGATATCACCCGAATAGGTTCCATTGAGAAACATTAAATTTTCACAGAAAAGTATTTCTTCTCCTTAAGCAAAACAATATCCTGCCATGGAATTCCTTCTAGTTTCATGTTTTTTTTTTCTGAGTCATCTTTGTACTTCATCTCTCCTGAAAATGTTTGACCAGTAGGTAAACAAAATTAAATTGTTTCAGAATAAAGTGATTATTCTTGAATTCTAGGAACATTATACCTGTCCCTTGTTAACTAGCAGGTGAATAAAATTAGTACAAATAGACTATATGTAAGTTGTGGATATTATTCTTTAAATAATGAATTCTTTTAACCTTCTTTACCTCTATGTGAATAAAAACTTAATACAACTGGAAATTCTAAGTTAAAACCAGTGCAGGCTTTCAACCAAAGGAGGGCAGGGTCAGGTGTTATATTTTCCAAGAAAATCCCATTGAATCATTGTGTAACCATATAGTAGCATAGTTTATCCCTCATACCCACATTTTTCATTCTCTCAAAGGGTCACTAACCCATACCATAACAGAGTTAATATTTTTTCTGTTATAGTATATAGCCTCTATCACTGCACAACCTAGTTGTGGAATTGAAGAACATGCAGCTTCAGCTTTAGAACAGCCTGCACCTGTTGATGTAGTGAATTGTGGAGCAAGTACATCAACCTCAGACAGCCCATCATATCCATTCCCACATGATTTAGGGCCTAAAAGCACGTTGGTTGAGTCACAAGCAGTGCAGGTGAATTTGCCAAACAAGGGTGTGGATTTTGGGATCCAAGTCAATCTTCGTGGTCTTCATTTAATGATGAAATCTACTGACACCCAAGTCGAGGTTGATGTTTCAGAAAGCAGCACCCAGACTGAAGAGGTATTCCTTCCTGAAATTGAAGATAACAAGGGAGAAGCAACTGAAGCTGCTGCTTCCCCAGAAGTCTCTCCAAGAAAAGATGGCATCTACCTTCCCACAAAACAGGAAGATTCAGATGATTCGAACTTGTCAGGATCAGACAACGAACACCAAGGGGAAACAAAATGCGAAAAGCCACAGGATGATACCAAATACATTGTATTTAAACAAGAGCTATTTAAATTGTTTAAGTACTGTCCTGAGTGTGGTGCAGTTGTGATTAAGAGGAACCAATCCACACAAGGAAGCCAACTATTTGTCACCCTAGAATGTATGAATAATCATAAGTACTCCTGGCAAAGCCAGCCAATGCTTGAGGGGATGGCAGCTGGAAATTTGTTGCTGTCATCATCTATTTTGCTCAGTGGCTCTACCTTTACAAAAGTAGCATCTTTGGCAGATATCTTAAATTTGAAAATTTTCAGTGAGAAAACATTTTATAATATTCAAAACAAGTACTTATTACCCATAATCAATGAGTTCTGGCTTAAAGAACAAAATTCCACTTTTTCTGAGGTAGGGGGGCGAGATCTGTGGCTTTCAGGGGATGGGCGTTGTGACAGTCCTGGCCATAATGCAAAATATGGGACATATACCATGATTGATCAGAAAACTGATAAGATTGTTGACTTCAAGGTTGTTCAGGTCAGTGAAGTAAATAATAGCAATGCCATGGAAAGAGAGGGTTTTAAACGCTGTATGGAAAACATCTATGAAAAAGGGGGGAAAATTATGGTTGTTGCAACTGACCGTCATGTGGGCATTAGGGCTGACATGAAAAGAAATTTCCCTGAAGTTGATCATCAATTTGATGTGTGGCACCTTTCCAAGAGTATAACTAAAAAGTTAACTGAAAAAGCAAAGAAGAGAGAATGTGCTGATCTCTCTCTCTGGATCAGATCCATCTCAAACCACCTTTGGTGGTGTGCCAAAACATGTGGGGGAGACAAGGAGATGTTGAGAGAGAAGTGGATATCCATTGTCTATCACACTGCCAATATCCACTCCTGGGATTCAGCTGACCTGTATGAGGAATGTGCCCACCAACCAATCCCTCCAGCTATCGCAAGAACTAAAAGGTGGCTTAGGCCTGGCTCCTCTGCTCATAATGCATTGAAGGAGGTTGTATTCGATAAAAATCTGTTGAAGGACATTCAGCAACTAACACTAAGTTGTCATACTGGCAATTTAGAGGTGTACCATAGTGTGCAGACCAAATATGCACCCAAACGGCAGCACTTCTCTTATAATGGCATGGTTGCTCGAACTCAGTTGGCAGCCCTAGACCATAATGCCAACACTGGTAGACAACAAGCCACTGTATCCAGGGGTGCCAACCAAGGGGAGCTGCAATATAAGGTGGTGTTTCCGAAAAATACAAAAGAATGGGTGGCGAAGCCCATATTTGAGAAGACAACCAATTATCATCTCAAGCCAATGCTTAACGCCATTGTAGAGAGAAAATGCTTAAAACCACAAGAGAGGAGTGCAACAGTCACAGCACCACACATTCCTGTAAACATTGCCAGCAAACCCCGCCCTCCTAAAGCAGATGTCATTGCTAATCATACTTCGAGATTTTTGAATAATTAAATACAACAACTTTGTCAATAACACAATCAAATGAAAATAAAAGCAATCATCGTAGCAAAAAGCAATCAAAGTTAGGTTTGAGGTTTATTTCATTCAGGCCACGCAGCTATCCCTGGCAATGTGGATAATTTAATAACTGCAGTAGGGATGACATTCGTTTGGCTCTGCATGGCTTTTGACTGAATCACTATGCAGAAATGTGTTAGTAATTCATATCCTCGATAAGTAATTGTATATTTCACGCAAATTTTAGAAAGAAACCGTAACATAAGGAAAGAAGAGCCTCTGGTGTTATACACGCAAAGGATATGTTACTAATCATTATTAAAGGACATTACGGATAAAGTTCAAAGTTCCAGATCTGCTTCTCGAAACCCCACGTAATTACCACTCTCTTCTGGAAATGTTTTACGTATGGCCGTGACGACGCATGCTGGCACGATTCTCCGCCGGTTTTTTCCTAATACCCCATGTGCCCACCAAGTAAATTGTCTGTAGGCTGCCAAACGCCAAGTTCTAGAGAACAAGAGGATATAAAGTCACAAAAGCGATTGACTTAATTACGCGTACAAAATAAGAAAGAAAAAGACAGTTTACCTGTTGACGATAGGGTCGGGAATTGGATTGAGCCGCGCATTGTGGATAGCAACCAATGCCGTGCTCAAAACATCCGTGTCCAGGCACACAATACCAAATTTCGGATGTTCTGTTATACATCTAACACCTATCAAGAAGAAAAAAGTCTTAACATTTTATTTCCCTCACTGTTTCAATAATTTTCATCCATCAGACCTTGTAATTGCAATTACAACTAAGATCGAGTTTGCAATTGTCCACCTTTTGTCACTCTTAGCAGAGAAGCGGTCGCTTCAAACAAAATACTCGTGAGAATAATCACATAATAAGTACAAACCTGAATTGTCGAACTTTTGATTAAGCTCCTCTAGTTCTTGGCAGCAGTAACATTCATTTGCCACCGGCATAAGCGCACAAGCGCCGCACAAACACCATTCGGTGTTTCCCATCCTCGAAGTATTGTCTTCTTCGTGGGCTTCTACCTCCTGTCCTACACTCTCTTCCTGAGGTGGTTCTTCTCCAGGCTGATATACTGGTTCGAACTGAAATGGTTCTATTCCGCTCATAACGAAGGGTCGACGAAGACGCAATTTGTATTAAAACTTAGCTGAACGATAACACGTTCTAAAGTGATCCCCATAACATACGTCACAGGCTCATTTGGAAGACCGCTGATTTAAAATTGGTGCCCACGGTTTGAAAGCCGAAACAGCGCGAAAATACAAACTTTAAAGAAATATTTCTCCAAGGTAAGACACATTTAGCACAAATAACGCTTGAAATCGAGAATTTCGTCACTTTGGCTATCGAAAGAAATTAACTCAATTTTTGGCTTCAGTTCTCCTTTAAATTTTGTTCCCATTTCCAAAAAAAATTTTTAGTTAAGCAGGACGTTGAAAAATTCCTTCGCCGCGTTCAACTTAAAGCCTTTTTTTTGCGAGAAGGAGGGTGATTCTAACACCTCTAACTGAGATACTTTCAAAACACTTAAAAATGTTGCCACGATATCAACAAACTTAAATTCAATCGTAACACCAAATTTTACCTACCTTTCTTCGAAAAAGTGGTCGGCACTGAAAAGTCTAAAAAACGCAAAGATATGGTTATTAAAGCGGCCGACACCAATTTCATTCAAACGTGAAAAAACCATAGGCAACTTTTTGGTTAGAAGTTCATTTTCAAACCATTGACTAACCTGGAACTTTCAAATGCGCTCGCTCACGATGCAAAACTTGTTCTTTCATTCATAACGGGGAGAAAATGTCGGGACCCAAGAGATCCATTAAGATCACAGATCACTTTACGTGCGCTTCCACCAATATCATTTACTGCATAACTTGCACTTATTGCATAAAGTTATACATTGGTGAAACAGGAAGTCAACTAGGTGACCGATTCCGAGAACACCTTCGCGACGTAGAAAGAAATGATAAGGACGCACCCAAACCAGCCGCGAAACACTTAAAATCTCCCTAATCATTCTAAGCAGCATATGGCAGTTTGTGACCTTTCCTTACATCTAGGCCGTTTGGGAAGCCGCGAAACTCTAGAACCAAAACTTACCTTTCAAATTGGCTCTCTTGATCCCCTTGGTAGTAACGAGCGCTTTTCATTCAACTAATTTATTTTTGTTTTCTCGTCGCCATATCCCCACAAATGGCGCAGCTCCATTTTGCGACTATAAACCCATACTCAACCCACAATTCCTCCAATCGCTCTGACGATGGGCTAACTCTCGAAATGTCAGCCTTTAAACTCTTTACGGTGGCCAATTTACGTCATAAACCCAGTTGACAAAACTAAATTATCTGCTATACTCTCCCTCCAACGCAGCACCACAGTTTCTTTAGAAACTTACCTTCTTTATTCATTTGCTTTTTTTGGAGTCGAGCCCAATTTCATCAGGGAAGTGGTTACTTTGTGCAATTTTACCTTACGAACTAGTAATACGCAACTTAGAGGAAAACTGCAAAGTTTTGTGAGCAAATGTAAATAATATTTCATGTAAATGATTGTCTCCTTTGACGTCAGAACGTAAAAACTAAGTTATAAAGAAGTTTCAAGAAACTTCATGACCGCCCAACATAGTCGGGTCTCCAAATTAGCGTCTCGGGTTGCAAATGTAGTTGCCAAATCTTTTGCAAGTCGTCATGGTGACAAATTGGTTGCAACTTAGAGCGTTGTTATTCATGAAGTCAGCACTCCAGGCTTCGACCGTTTGGAGCGCAGTGGTGACCGAATAAACATTTGGCGTAAATCTCTAAGTCGGCAACCTCTGTTCGGCAGTCACTAAGCAAGTTGTTACGTTTTTATAAGAGAGTTTGTATGGTTTGAAGTGGGAGCGGATAATGTACTTTCGTGACAAAAGTCCTCGTCTTGCGTCGCTTTCTTCTTAAACCTTTACACCCTCACATCAAAATGCATATTCTCCATACTATTCCCAATACATTTCCTAAGATCCTAACAAGGAAAAGCTGTCTAACAACCAAGAGCTTCTTTTGTTGGTGATCATTTCCTTTATTCTCGTGACGTTAATGTTGGATTCAGGGGTGATATTGTAAGGAGAAACTAGCTGCTAGTCACTCTAAGAGGTTAATGGGTTGATTCCTCTTTCTCCTTACTTGCCTGAGTATACTATGAACCTCGAGATTTTACGTGAATCATCATAAGCGAATGTCAACCATATAGCTGCTTACCTCAAAGAAAAGTGGCGCGTTCAGCGTTTAACCATCAATAGAGCTGCTCGACATTAACCGTCAAACGGTTTAAAGGTCTTTCAAATCTCCTTATTCGAACCCTTTGCGAAGAGTTCCAGATCTCGAAGAATTTTTCGACTAATGAGCCAGTCTCTAGGTTTCAAATAAATCGTGTCATTTTCGATGATTTTCGCCTACACGGACAGTTTTAAAATACAGTGGAAACCCGCATATAACAACCTCGAATTTAATTTTGTTTTGATCGTTAACACGATCTCGTGCCCGATGAAATATTGCATGACAACCGGTAAAAATCACATTGACAGTCTCTGATCTGCGAGAGAGCTGGGACTCAAATTAGCAGAGGAAGTGTTATGATGTATATGAGGGAATTTTTTTTTTTAACTTTTGTGTAATCTGAATTGAGGAAAAATGAATGAACCTTTTCACTGTGCTGCTTTTGGTTTTTGTTTCTTCTTTCAGTTAACACCTCAAGAGCGGAAGGAAGAGTAGAGGTCCAAAGTGATCAAGTGAATGTGAATAATTTTCGTACTGCCCTCAATTCAAAGTGGCAATCTGGGCAGGTATTATTTCTTAGGAAAGTAGTACAAAATATACAAGAGCCATTAATAAGAAAATTTAATTAAATACCAGAACATTTTTTCCTACTTTTATCTTAAAGCTATTTTATCATCAATTTTTTATGTTCCATTGGATTCCGAACACCTTGAGATAAATTCATCACTACTGAGCCTTCAAAATCATTAACTTGGATTAGGTTTACAAAATGAGTGCTTTTTCTCTTCCTTTCCTTTTCTCCAACTGCGTCTCATTTTTTCATTGGTCAATGTAATGAATGACACTAACCTGCTATATCCTACTTCCAACAAATTTTCACGAATTCTCGTTTAGTAAAAATAGATTACGTCCCAGATATTCTAATCAGTTTTGGAAAGCTTTTAAAATAATTTGGTTTGAGCTTTCTGGTGAAAATGTTAAACTCACTTTCCAAGATATTTTAGTTGGTAAATTGGATAAAGTAAGTTTGAAATTGCAAGTTAGTTATTGCTAAATGAGACATCTGGACCAGCCGTAAATCGGTGCTAACCAGAATACTGATTGATTTAAAGGATTGGTTAATCTGAAGTATAATACTGAACGACATAATTCAATTAAATACAATGCAGAAGAGAAACTTCAGGTCAGAGGTAAATTTTTCATTAATAATGGCTTCCATCTATCTGAATCAGTAATTATACGACTGAAGTATGTAATAGTAGGAAATAGTTTAAGTGTATATATATATCAAATCGCGCGTCGTTCTTTCGCGTTCGCGAATGGTTCTTTGTTCGTGATTCATCGAAGTGATTACCCAAGCCGTGGTCAATCGGGCACGGTTGCTTTCTAGTTACTAGAGGCTGATAGTTTGTTTCTCGTTTCTGAAGCTCACGTTTCATGAGATTGACTTGAAGTCAGAATATTACGACGTTTTATTGGAGAACCTGAAGTAATTAAATTATGTCGTTGTTAAATGTCTTCCCTTTGTGTTCTGGACAAATGCAGCTCAAGGCTGGAACGGACAAATAGGAGTAAAGATCTATTATTAAGTCTAAGGACTCCATTACACAACAGATAGATTTGATTTAAAACAGAACTCGTTATGCTTGTATATCTTGAATTGTATCATTTATAACAACGTAGTGATCAGAAGCAGGACCGGAATTACTGTTTAACGCTAAGCTAACACTGTTGCGTGTGCACCAGCTGGAATGTTTTTTAAATATGAAATGTTGCTGCAAGTACGCTATACTTAGTTTTGGCTGCCTTAGCCAGCCTTTTTGTAGTCTCTAAATTATAACTAAAAGTGGGTTTTATCCAAGCTTTGTTAAAACGCGAACGAGCTAGTAAATTTTAACTGGATCAGTCGTTTTGCGCGGTGTGTAAACGGTTTCAATTAATTTATTATAATCAATTTAGTGTTCTGTTTTTTTTTACCCTGTCACGTCAGGTAGAACTGCACTATTTTTTTTTGTTTCGTAGAAGTCAATATTTTTCTTTAAGTTTTTTTTCTTCCTTTTTTTGTAATGGGGGGGGGGGGAGGGGGAAGGGGGGATTTGAGTTTGGCTAACTTTGTACTACAAAGTTATCCATAAATAGCTAGGAAATAACTCATTTAAGTCTTCAGTTGCTTTTCTATAAGTACAGCTTGTTTTTCGATGCTTGTTGATGTATTTAATAAAACAAGTTACGACGTTTGAAAATGTACCTTTTCAAAGGAGAGAAGTCGTTGTCAGCGGAGATGGAAATTAACTATTTTTACCATGCTGTTGCTCTCTGAAAGCATGAAATTAGCAATGAAAAACATGAGGAAATCCGTAGGTCAAGTGATAGTTTGTTTAAGAAAAATTTCAAAGGTCTTTGAGCTGCAACTTTTCTTCTCGAACTACATGAAGGATCTTGTCAGGAAAGCAAGATCACGGGAACTCCGGCAGAAACTGTGGACGTATCACCAGTTGTGCATCGCTCCTTAGAAGACCAATTTGTATCACTCATGGTCACAGAAGAGAGGGCTAAGTTTTCAGCCGATTATCAACGCTTATTCGTTCTCATTGATCACAACAAAGAAACAGTGTAGGACTGGTGTTTTATCACTTTAATGTACCACAATAATATGTAATATGCCTAAGCGCGCCATTTCAATCTCCTGCTGCCTCGAAGTAGCTCTTGTAGCGCTCTTTTGTATTTCCTAGCTTCGAAAAAAGCTAGTAGTAAATTTCTAAATTTCGAGACCATTACTCTATGTCAAATTCACAATAAAATTGCACATGGAGACAAGTTAATCGGTAGCTTTTACTACACATTTCATGGTTTTTCAAACAAAACTCGCGCTTTCCTTGTATCAGCATCACCCAAATCCATTTCTGATAAAAGAGCCGCGAAAAAGTAATAATCTCTCTCTAAAATTGTTTTTACCATACAATTCCTTCTAGTGAGTGGCAACGTTTGCCCCGTAGCGATCCTGGAGATCTGTGCGCAAACACAAGGAACCGATTATTGGCAACTCATTCATTCCAATACGTTATGC